CTCACAATCTACATGTCTAAATCTCTTGGTAGACTTGGGAGGATTTCATCTCTTATTTAGTTAAATGAGTTTTTGAACTTTTTCATTCACTTTTTACCTTTAGGGATACCAATAATTCATGTATTTGGTCACTTTATGGTGTCACATATATCACAGAGACTTTGTTTATTCTTTTTAAAATTATTTTTTCTTTATTTTAGTCTGAGTTATATCTAAAGAAGTATATTAAGGTTCTGAGATTCTTTTTTGTTGTTGTTTTAATTTATTGTTTAAACTCTTGGTTGTACTTTTTATTTAATTAAAGAAGTTCTTTGATTCCAGATTTTGTTTGGTTCTTTGTTATATGTGTCTCTTTGATAAATTTCTCATTCATATCTTGAATTTTTTTTCTGATATTTTGTATTGTTTTTGAAATTCTCTTGTATATCACTGTGTTTCTTTAGTGTCATAATTTTGATATTTTCCCTGTGATTTCACACATTTCTTTTTGATTGGGATATGTTACTGGGGAATTACTGTGTTCCTTTGTAAGTGTCATATTTCCCTATTTTTTCATGTTTCCTTACATTGATAACTGTATATCTGGCATAATAGAAATGTATTCTAATTTTTTGAGTTTGCATTCACAGTGGAGGATTTTTTCCTGAAGATGTATCCATAGTGTTGGTTAGTAGGGCCCTTTGTCTTTGATTCTGAGTACATGCAGTTGTGCAATCCTTATATAATTGCTTTGGCTGTAAACAGCTTCAGTGTTATCTGTGATTTCTCAGTGGTTTAGTGTGTGGTTAAAAGTGGGGGCTATGGGGAAATTTGGCTGGGGACAGGGATTCTAGATGGGTTAGTCTTTGGTTCCCAGTGGTGGTAGCAGTGGGATGAGTATGCCTGTTCTTGTGCCCCCTACAAGATACTTGCTCTGGTATTGGCAGAACCAGGCAGGCCAATTCTTGGGCCTCTAGGTATTCTGCTTAGCTCCCGATAGTGACAGTGGTGGACTAGGCAAGTGAGTGATTTCCTGGTTCCCTGGGTAGGTGGCACGGTGTGGGTAGTGGTAGTAGCAGTGGTGGGACAACTTCTGGGTCCTGAGCAGTGCATGCTGATGTTGGAGACGGTTACAATGCAGTCTCCACCCACAGCCCCAGTCATGCAGCTCTCAGGCTTGCTTATTCCCAGTTGTAGCAGCACTGCAGTGCTACACATAAAGGTAAGGAGCCCTTCCCTTTGCACATGAGCTTGATCATGGAAGTCATTCTACCAGTGGGAGTGTGGTCACCATGCAGGGCCAGAAAGGAGCCATTAGGGTCACCTGCCCTAGCTTCTAGTGGCAGCTGCAGTGGCTGAGCCTGCAGAGGTACGCAGAGTGGGAGAGGGTGTCCCTGTGCATGAGCCTAAAAACGGAGGCCACTCCACCAGTAGAGTGGGATCACTGCTCTCAGCCCCGGGTAGCTGGCTTCCATTTGGGTTCCCAGTGGCGGCAACTGCTGCTGCAGTGTTGGGTGGGTGGCACAAATGGAATCTCACTCTCTGCTCACAAGCCTGAACACAGAGTGTATGCTGCTGCTGGGGCAGGATTTCTTCTCATAGCCCCAGATAGGAAGCTGTCAGGCTCTAGAAAGTGTGTGCTTTGGTTTTCTTTGACCCAGGAACTGCCATGTTAGTTTACTGCACCATCTCTTTTCTGGAAGTAGTAATACTGTGGGCCACAGTACTGGGGCCCCGTAGCACCTTTGTGTCCAGCAGTATTCTGCCATTGTAGCCCCCTGGGTAGACACTGAGGAATGTCAGTGGGGGCTCCTGGGATATAGAGATACAAAGGCTATGTTTCTAAAGGGAGGATACGGCCCCATGATGGCTGTGCTCTCACAATGGTACCCTGCTGTAGTTGCTTAGGTCTCAGGGGTGTGAGTGAACCAGCACAAGTTCTCTGCCTGGTGCAATGCCCTTATGGGGTGTCTAGCTCACTGTCCATGTTAGTTTCAGGAAATAAGTGGGTAGAGGAGCTCTGCCATGGTTCAGATTGCAGCAGTTCATGGTAGGAAGATAGACCCACTGAAACTTTCACAACCTTTCCCCCAATAGCAAGTCCCTATGTGTTCCCAGATGATTTTACTTCCCTTCTGTGTAGTTCATTCTCACACTGCTATAAAAGAGTTACCTGAGACTGGGTAATTTATGAAGAAAAGAGGTTTAATATTCTCACAGTTTCACAGGCTTAACAGGAAGCATGACGGGGAGGTCCCAAGGAGCTTATAATCATGGTAGAAAGTGAAGGATAAGCAAGCACATCTTCACATGTCAAAGCAGGAGAGAGAGTAAAAGGGGAAGTGCCACACACTTTCAAACAAGATGCCATGAGAACTCACTCACTATCTCAAGAACTGTAGAGGGGAAGTCTATCCCCATGATCCAGTCACCTCCCATTGGGCCCCTCCCCCAACACCTGAGATGATAGTTTGAAATGAGATTTGGGTGGGAACACAGAGCCAAACCACATCATCTCTGTGCCTCAGGTGTTTCCCATGACTTCTCTGTTGGACTCCAGTGTTCCCTCCTAGTTGTTCCATTTGAGGTGTGATTATTGATTCATAATTGTCATTCTTCTTTCTGGAGAGAGGGAGTATGCAGTTTTCTCTAGTGAGCCATCTTCAACTGGAATCCCAAGATTTACTAATTTTAAAGCTTGCTCTTTATTGTTCTAGCTAATATAAACTATCTTGTGGAAATAAGCATGCCCTTTATCTATGAGTACTTTGAACTCAAGAAGCAAGAAACCATTTCAGTTGTCCTCCTTGCCTTTGCGTATCTGAAAGACTATTAGAAGCCTCCCTTTTGCTTGTCTTTTGACAGAATGCTTTATGAAAGGATATTATCACAGAGGCATCACCCACTGTAGGTGTATTGTTTTGTTTCTCCTTTGGAGAAGTAGCTCAAGGTTGAATAGATCCAGAGATATATGATCGCCAAATATTATTTTCTTTATATTTTGTTTACATTCTTTCCTTTCTATCTAGCTCGAAGTGTACAATATTCTTAATTATTGAATTCTGCCTACAGAAGTATACAGAATAACATATGAGCAACGGCAGTTTTATATGTATTAGATAGAAATATAAATGGTGCTCCTCAAGATTCTATGCAAGAACATAAAACATATAACTATTAAAATATGAACATAATAAATATGCAGCCTTCAATTTCACAGTCAGCTAAAAGGGTCAGAAAAAAGAGAAGAGATGGAAATAGAAAGAGAGAAGAAGGAGGTAAAGGTCAAATGAAGGAAATATGGGAGAGCTGAGAAAGAGAAACTAACAAGCAGAAATTCAATGTAGGAGGCAAAGCTTGAGTTGTCAAACAACAAAGAGAATATGTACACAAATAATACATGAAGAACAATACATAGAAAGTCCAATATACAATATGGAAAGGCAGATTTGTCAATAAAAATTTGGCCTTCAAGAATATTAAGATGAAAGCTTTTAAAACCATTTTTCGAGTATAGCTATAACTAAAGTTAGTCTCTGGGCCAGGTGAAATCTTTGACCAGATTGAGGTATAAATATAGATGTTATTCATACTGACATGCTTTTCATGTATTTTCTATTTTGTTTCCTATTATATTTTTGAATATTATATTCCTTTCAGTATTTATATCTCATCCTTATAAAATACTAAATTATCCCCCTTCTGATTAGCTATTCATTTATTGTCTATATCTGTAAGAGTAGTTTTCTTTAATTCTGTAGAGTGTTTCAATATTCTTTTAAATTTTTTTCACATTTAACTTCAGTCTCTTAGAGAAACACAGTACTCTAACAGAGTTGTGTATATGAAGAGATGTCTTGGGCATACCTTATAAACATGTTATTTTTACATACTTTATAAGTTTACAAATAGTATATGTTTATACTTTATGAATACACTTATAAATACTAATAATGCATTCTCAAAATTTATTTGTAATAGTAGAGGTTTGTAATAAAAAAAAATTGGAAATAACTGCCATAGTAGAAAGCTCATGGTTTTTGGAGCAATATATACATTCCTGGGTTCAAATTCCAGTAATGTTCCTTATTTACTTTATAGTCTTGGATGAAGCACTGAGATTTCATTAGATTTATCTTTTTAATTTTATTTTCTTTTTACATGTATATCTAATGATACTCTGCATTTCTGTTAAGAGAAAGGGAGATACACACACACACACACACACACACACACACACACACGATAGTGACAACCATTGCTGTTATTTGGGTCTTCTTCATAATTTAGCAACTTGTATTCTATTTATTTCTGTAGTTAATTTTTTTTCTATTTTTCTGTAAAATGTTGCAGATTATATATTTTTGCAGACATTCCATTTTATGTAGTCTGTGTGAAACAAACTATATTTTTACTAATCTTACAGAAGTAAGATTTTGCATTGGTTATTTAATAATTACTCTGTGGGAGGTCTTTTTTCATGAGGGAATATGGAGCTGAGCACAGCATACTATGAAGAAGCAGGATAGTTCTCAACACTGACTAATGCAATGGTTCTCAAATTGTTTTGACTGAGACACATAGAAATATCTTTTGCATTGCAATCAGCTAACATAATATACATTCGCTTATATACTGAAACAAGGAATTGTACAATAAACTATGTTTTTTCTTCTCTCTTATTTTATTTAAAAATCTCCTCTCAATTGATTTCATGACTGCTTTAAGGGGCATGACTTGCAATTTGAAAAGCACTGTTTTAAAGGACATAGAATAAAAATAGCATTTAGTGTTGGTCATTATATGTAATGTAGAGATAATTTATAAAAGATTTTTTGGCTGAACTAGTATTTCAATCTTGATATAAATGTTTTAATGTTATTTCAAAAACATAATATTGAGTGAGTTTAAAATTGTTTTTTTAAAAGAAAATGTAATAATAAAATGGTTGATTTTTCTTATGGATTTTAAACATTTATTGATGCAACACAAACATGCATTTTTCTTTTCTTTTTTGACAGATTGGCTATTTGGTCTTCTTACGACTTTTTATATTTTTCCTGCATGGTCACCTAGAATGTTTTAAACAACATTTACTTAGGCTTCAACCATATTTATACGGTAGGATATCTTTTATTTTTTGCACTTATAAATGTTTTATGTTATATTTTGAGAGGCTCAGACTGTCAGTATAAAGAACGTAAGTTGCATTTTATTTTTCATGAAAGAGGTGTGGTGTTGAGGAGCACAGCTTCAGGGCCAGATTGCATTTGTTCAGCTCCCTGTCCCTCTAACCCCATACATTTTTATTTCTTTGTGGTGAGAACAATTAAAATCTAACTCTACTTTTTTTTCCAGCAATTTTGAAAAATGCAGTATTATAAACTGCAGTCATCATGTCATGAAACAGACCATTATACCTTATTTCTTCTGTCTAACTGAAGCTTTGCACCTAACACTTACCACATCCCCAACCATTCCCGCAACCTACTCCCTGCTTTAGACACTGGTAACCCTCATTCTGTATTCTACTTTTTACTTTGCCACTTAAGTGTATGAGCTTTTTTGTGGCTCAGTTTCGTTATTTGTAATAGTGTCTACCTCCCTAGATTTCAGGAAAGTTAAATTCTTACTTCAGTAAGGTTCTGGACTTGGTGATCAACTGAATCTAAGCAATATGTAAAGAAAAGTGAAGAATTCAAGTGGGAGCCAAGGTTTTGCATATTGAGTAATAGCACGAGACAATGATACTCTGAACTAGGAAAAATTTGGAGAAATATCGGTCGTATTGAATTTGAAGGTCACTCAGGTATATATACCCAGCAAGCTGTTGAAAACATAGGTTTGGAACTAGGGAAATAAGTGAAGCCTGCCTGGAATATGGAATTGACAGTCATTCACGTTAATATGGCTGAGGGTGAGGGGCAGGGAGAAACTAATTCCAGGGATGAAATCTTGGGGAACATACACATTTAATGGATTATTGGTGTAACAGAGTCCAGTTAAAGAGAAATAAGAGAGATAAGAGGGAGTGATTATGTTTAAGGAGAGAAATTCAAGATCAACATTGCCATAGAAATATTAAATTATAGAAGGTCTGACAAATAATGGTAAGTTTCTGCAATCAGAAAATCACTGCTGATCTTGGGAGCATACCCAGTGGAGAGGTGGAAGCAGAATTCAGATTGGAGGTAAACAAACAGTGAGGGAAAATTTAAGCATAAGGCAAAGATTGTGACCTATTTCAAAAAAAAGCTTAGCTATAAATATTTATGCTGATATGTAAATATGTCAATAGTTTAAGTGGAAAATCAGTCAAAATATTAGTATATTATAGGATAAGGAAAGGAGGAATTCAAGATAAAGAAAGGGAATAATATTTGATGAAAAAGTCATGGTGGATGGAACCATGACCAAGGGAATAGCAGAAGTGTTTTGGAGACTTATCAGTTAGTGCCATTGGCATACGTCCTGATCAGACGTGGCTGTAGACAGACAGAATAGGAATTCTTGTCTAACATTTCACTTGTTTTTATATCTTTGTTAAATTATACAACTTCTTAACTCCTCATGGTGTTTGGCATAGTGGCTTATCAAATATTCAGATGATTACAACAAATAAACTTTGAAAGATTATTTGAGTAAAAACCTCAAGTTCTCATATTAGCTTGTTATTGAGGATATACGCCCCTAGTCTTTCTTTCATATGCAAGAATAAAATCACCAGTTGTGCCCTCTTACCAACTATCGTAGAGGCTTAGGGTACAGCTTTACCGTTAACAATTGGCTGTTTTCTACTGAAGCTATCAGCAACTCTGCCTCTTCAGATAGCTGTCCAGTAGAATGATCATTATTAATTTTTCCATTATGTGGTTGGACTAAAACTCAAAGTTTGTCTAAAAAACTATTTTATGGAAAAAGCAGCACTGAGATGGTTCCATTAAATATAACATGGTGTTATGTTAAATTACATTGTTGTTGCCTATATTTAAAATATTTATTTTCAAAACTAAATAATAACATCTTTAGAAGGAATAAAACTGGAGAATCAATTGGTCTAGAATCAATGACATTGATTTGTTTGTAGAATTACAATGTCAACGTATCCATTATGAATACAGCATCTATTATAACTTGATTTATTTTCATCTGGAAGCTTCCAAGCATTGTTGAACAGTAACTATATTTAATTGGGCATTCAGTGATTATGAAATTGCTGTTCTGAATTATATAAACTCTTGTGTATAAATTATTTACCATCTAGTTTTCTATTACACCACCAGGGGGCATACATAACATTATAAATCTTAAATAGGGAACTACAGCAGTTTCCGCATCTAAATACTGAATTTAATTATAGTTTAATAGCTAAAAGACAAATGAAACACAATGCAAAACATTAATGAAATATTTCTCACAAATAATTTTTCTTACAATAGCACTTTCTTTCTCTGGAGAATCATATTACAAGTATCCAAACATCTTTTCAAATGTGCAATTCATCCTGAAAGCCTCGGAAATTATAGGTAAAAGAGAACTCCGCTCTGAATCAATTTTTAGCCCTGTGGAAAATGAAAAAAGATATGAGAACACAGATTCTGATATGGTGAGTAATCTTGTATGGTGGGTATATCCTGTTACATGATGCATCAGATATGATTACTATGATTAAATAATGGTGCTTATCAATACAGTAGGCATTGAGGAATGATGAGTTTAGCTGTGGGAGAGGGGTGAACAACAAAGATATGAATTTCACGCAACCATATGCACATTTCCTGGACAGTAGTTAATAGGATGAGTAGTGAGGTATCAATATATACTACTACTACTTTAAATGGAGTAATGCCATAATACCTTCTTCTTCATAAGTTCCATCTCACCTACTTAATTAAAAATTGCAACATAATTAAGACTAACTTGTAAATTAACATTTTAAGATATTATATTTTAATTAAAGGGAAAGTGTGTAAAGGGCAAATTATGAAAGCAAGTATATTATTTTGATGTTTTCATAATTCATATGAAATAATATTTAATGGTTGGGTGCGGTGGCTCACGCCTGTAGTCCCAGCACTTTGGGAGGCCTAGGCAGGCAGATCACCTGAGGTCAAGAGTTCGAGACCAGCCTGACCAACATGGAGAAACCCCATCTCTACTAAAAATACAAAATTAGCAGGACGTGGTGGCACATGCCTGTAATCCTAGCTACTTGGGAGACTAAGGCAGGAGAATCACTTGAACTGGGAGGTGGAGGTTGCGTTGAGTTGAGATGGCACCATTGCACTCCAGACTGGGTGACAAAAGCAAAACTCTGTCTCAAAAGAGGAAAAAAAAAGAAGATTTAATATGCTATTAAAATCAACCAAAACCTTTAAAAAATAGTTTAAATTATGAAATAATAATCTTTAGATTATGATAAACCTCTTAATTTCTGAGATATTAATAATCCTTTAAAAAATTGTCCTAATTATATAATTTGTTTGTATATAATAAACTAATTATGTAAACCCAAGTATAGTGAGCCATATAATTGTGCATATGCTTTATAGATTAATACACTTCAAAAGACAACTTTTAATTTCTGGGGCCAATAATGCCTTTCTTTCCTCACATATTTTCCAAAAAAGAACAGTAAGCATTTCAAAACCTTCTTTTTTTTTTTGTTAAACATATTTATTATTTGGTAGTTTATAAATGGAAAATTTGTTTTTCTAACAACTTCTAAAAAAGGAAAAATACATTTAACATAATGCAAGTTGAAACACCTAAGAAAATTAAAACAAAGTTCCCTTTTTAAATATTATCTGTTACCTTGTAATTTTCCCATGCTTCCTGTGAGCCCTTTCAAAATCAGCTATAAATTAAATATATAAGAAAAAAAACATTCAAACACATGTATTTGTAGTCTTTCCAGGGCTAAGTGTTTTCTTTTTGGCATATTACCAGTTCACCATTTATATAACAAGTGACATTTACCAAGTAAATTGAGCCTTCTGGTTATAATTACTAATGAGCACAAATTGCCTCATGTGAGAAAGGGATCTGTTTTTAAGTTGAAAAAATGTTTTAAAAAATAAAAAAAAAAAATGTTTTAACAGTAAATATATAATGTAAGATACTGAGCAACATAAAGAGCACCGGTCATGAAGAGAACAGACCTGCTTATGAAGTGGTTCTGTGATCTAAGAAAGGTTCATCAATCTTGCCAAACTTCCACTTATATATCTTTAAAAAGTCATCATTATTGTCCTCATCCTCATCATCATCATCAGTCTGCCATAACCCTTCTACAGCGTTATTATAAAGATTGCAAAAAAAGCATGTGTTTGTAAAATTGTTAGATGCCATGCAAACATGAATAATAATTATTGAAGAATGTATTTAGGACCTCACTTCACCTTTGACAGTGAACTATATTTTCATCTAAGGACGTTAAGTATGTTGACTTAATGTAGTGATTGGAATGTTTTTCCTTTAAGCAAATAAGAATCCATGAAATCTTAGCAATGTGAATGCTCTGGTTATGAAGTAGGCAATTGTCAGTGTTGATTCTGATGCTCTTTAAGAATGAATCCATTTTGCCACTCTTGGTGCACACACATAGCAAGCAAATGGAAGCTTACTGCTGTACAGCTCAGCCTGAATTGGAAGGGGCAAAAATGTCAATACATTAAAGGGACATATCAGCTTAGAGTGGGACAAGTCACTAAATCTCTCTGTGCCTTTTTCCACTTTGTAGAACAAAGCTTAGATTCAATCTCTTCTAAATTCTATTTTAGCTCTATCCATGTGATCCTGTAAGGGGATTATAACAGAGTTTGGCCTATCAGGTTTATTGCCCTTCTTTTTCTCCTCCTCTTATCTCATAATATAAAGACTATAAATATAGGATGGCATAGCCACAGTGCTGCTAAAATTGCTGATTTGGCTAATCAGCACTCAGTCAGTGCTTGACTGCACGTCTTAAAATTTCCCCAGTTTCAGCCCAATTTCTCCAGTACAGCCAGCCTTTCCAGTTCAGGTGAGTATTTACTCATTCAATACCCATCTCTGTCACCTGGGAAAGGAAAGAGGAAAAAAGATGTAAAAATGATAGAAATGGGAATATAAAAGACATTTGCATCAATCTCTTCTTCTTTCCTCATGATTATTTTAGTATATTATAGCAGAGGATTTCTGAATTTATTCTTATAGCCCTTATCATTTGATAATGCTAAAAGTTTCATAGCAGCATACTTTGGCCGCTGTAAAGCATTTGATTTTTAATATTCTTATATGCATTGAAATAAAAGCATAATTACTTAATTTGTTGTCAAAGTGCTACCAAAATTGCACTGAAAGTTTTATAGGATATTATGATACATTAGGATACATACCATATGAGCATAGTTTCCAGTTAAGAATAGGAAATTTCCTTTCCTCTGCTATTGGACCCCATTTCTCTTTTTAATGCCTTTTTAAGTGATCCAGACACAGGCTTTCCATTGACTTTGACAAATGGTACACTTAATTAGCTCTTTTAGCAAAGCCAGAATGCTGGATTGAGTTTTCCATTCTGTCCTTTGCTCACAAGCAAAGCTGAATTTTCTAAGCACAGTTGCCACATAGTGGTAATAACAGTTCTTTGGAGCAGGTAGACTTAAACCCTGCTGCAATGCAGTAGGCCTTTTCTTAAATGGTTTCATCTGTTCTAAAGTACAAATAGTTCTCTGAAAACTAGCAAACATAGAGTTTACATTTTAGTGTGATTAGCAATCTCATCCTCTAACACTGTGTTAGAGGCATTACCTAAATTTGGGACATTTTGTGGTATCCTGTAATGGTAAATTGTTACTAGGAATTATTAGACTGAGACATAAATTCCTTAAAATTAGGAGCATTATACTATGATTCACATCATATTATCCAGGTAACACTGTGTACTGAGAGATCCTTTCATGGCAGCGTCAACCATCCCCAAAATGACTGAAAACTAAAACTACATGAAACCCAGAAAGCTGTCCCTGAGCAGCCAAAATAGAGCCCATGCTTCAAAGCTCATTTCTGTTATAAAAGAGAGCCTAGTCAGACACTCAGAATTTATGTACTTAAATTTGCATAAAATTTAAGCTGGTGTTGTTATCTGAATTTTCAGCCAACAGTAGATTAACAACACTTTTGTAGGTGGGCTTCTCAAAGTAGGCATCCTTCCAGCTACAACTGACAGCCCAAAGCTGAACAGCAAGGGAGGGAGATGAAAGAACTGTGGAAAGTGGTTATAAAAGCCAGAAAGAAAGGAAGGGAGGGAGGTAAGGAGGGAGAAAACAAAGACAGGGAGGGAGGGAGAGAAAGAAGAAAAAGAGGGAGGGGGAAAAAGTTCTCTGGGAGTCATTTAAGGCAGTGCTCAGTGCTTTTCAAACTGTGGTAAACGATCTCCCCTAATTTATGTTTAAATTTCCAAACCATCACAGAAAATTTTGTAAAATATAATAAAATAACGAATTACTGAAAACTAAAATAGAAAAGACATAAAAATACAAGCTTTAATTTATAATAGACTGAATATATATAATTTGTCAAATTGTTATGAAAGCTTCTAAATAAATATTTTTCATTTTTGTGCTCTCATTAACAGTTTGCAAATGGCAGTTATCTGCCAACCACACCTTGAGCAGGACTGACTTAGTGTAAAGGCACAGAACTCCAAGAGAAAGCAACATTGCTCACTCTTGGTCTTCTGCACTAATGATATATGTGATGATGGTATTAAATCATATAATCATCATCATTATATTAATTCATCCAAGTTTAATAAATTTATTTTTTCTTTGGAAAATGTTTCTTGCTAAAGAGTATGCCATGTGTGGTTGTTCATGCCTATAATCCCAGCACTTTGGGAGGCCAAGGCAGGTGGATCACCTGAGGTCAGGAGTTTGAGACCAGCCTAAACAAAATGGTGAAACCCAGTCTCTACTAAAAATACAAAAGTTACCTGGGTATGGTGGTGGGCACCTGTAATCCCAGCTACTGGGGAGGCTGAGATGGAAGAATTACTTGAACCCGGGAGGCGGAGGTTGCAGTGAGTGGAGATCATACCACTGCACTCCAGCCGGGGCAACAGAGCGAGACTGTCTCATTAAAAAAAAAAAAAAAAAAAAGGAATACTTGAAATACATAAAATGCCTGAGACTAAATAATAAGCCCCACCTGTCTGGAAGGGTTTATTACTTGGACAGAGAAAAAGAGAGAGAGAGAGAGAGAGAGAGAGAGAGAGAGAGAGAGAGAGAGAAAGAGAGAGAGAGAGAAATACATACCACAAGGAACTATGGGATATCTTCATAAGATTGTGTTAGAAGCAATCTACTATAGGATTTGGACTTTATTTGGATGATCTTGGGAAGATTCTAAGGCAGCAATAATTCTCTCTAGAGGTTTGATTCTGTCAAAAAGTGGGGCAATTCTGTGATTAGGTATTTTGTGGGTGGCCAAGTGACTTTATTTATATCTGTGCTTAGAAAAAAAATTGTCAAATGGCTTTATTTATTATGGTCTCAGAGTAATATTGTCTGAAATTGCTGTTTTGTGAGTTTATGTGCAACAGGAGATCAAAATAACCTGGCTGTATCAGACCAGCTTGTAATAATATTTCAAATCAGTCCCAGATGTGAGAGGATGCTTTTTAATTTCTCCACAATGTGTAAAATTGACATAATGTAACATTGAAGATAAAACTTAAATCTTGTTCATTGTCTAAATCCTGATTTTTTTTCTTTACTAAATGCTTTTGAAATTTTCTCTGCTGATGGTATATAAATGCATTAATGCCAGAATGGTTGACCTAATTGAATTGTTCATATAGTGTTGCAATATCTATGATTAAAATAATATTTATTATAAATTAACCAGTCAAGTCATTCCAAGGTTTTAAAACATATTTATTTACCTATTTATTTAAAATAAGTTTCCAACCTGAGGACTGTCAGGCATCCAGGCTGAGACAACTAGAGCAATTTGAGAAAAGAATTATTTATATGGGTTCCAGTTTGGGGACAGACTCTACCACAAAGCAGAAAATTGAGTTATATGTAGATTTATTGAAGTCAATATGTCTCAGACTGATGCTTTACATTATTTTGGAATAGAGCTTTTCTATGGTGTATTCTAACACTCTAAACACTGAATTGTTTTCATTTGCTCTTCTGAATTATTGTTCCCAGAGGCAGTAGCCTTGTGTGGACATTGTCTTCCTCATACCTTTATCTCCAGAATCTAACAGTGTTCCTGGGATAAAGTAGATAAATGCATATCTCTAAGACGTAACTAAACATTATATTAGAAACTTAAATTATCTTAGCTTAGAATTTATGTATGAACTTCTGGTCTTCTATCTGAAGAGTACTCAACATAAAAATTTAATAAATAAGAATGATGAAGCCCTTTAGATTCTAAGTGTTTCATTTTAACATAAAAATCACAAAATATCAACTGAATTAACAATTCAAGTATGTATTACAGAATGTGTATTTGGAACTTCACTGCTGGCAAAAATTCAGAGAGTGCTATGTCATTTCTACCAATTACTTTAGTAAAACCAATTAAATGTATAAAAGTGTTGGGAAGTACTCTAAGAAAAAAACTAAACAACAGCTTATTTGTTATCTGAATTTTTAGGCTATAAGACATTGACGATGTCTTGCTAGGCATATATTTTGGTCCTTAAAGTAGAAATCGACATTTCGAAACAACTTTGCTGTTAGAGTTTTGTTCAAACTTTCCCAATTCCTTCTTTCTCAAGTGTCAGGGAGAGCTAAGTCACATGGAGTCTACGAACAATTGTGTCAAATAGCTATCCCTTACGGGATGCAGAATTTTTGCCATATTGTAGAGCTGGTATCATTGAACACAAGGGACCCATGTGAAAAATATATACATTTGGTTCAGGTTAACTGTATATACTTCAAAAATATATTTATGTAAATTGCTCCACTTGGTAAAATATAAAGAGTAAGAGAATATGCATTTTCATTCGGATACTTAAAATTTATTTTCATGTTTGTTCAAGTCAAATAACTCTTTCTCACATATATTTTTATATTTTAATTCCTGAAACATTTGCAATTTAATCAGGGAGGATATGAAATCAACCACCTGCTCTGGCACTGTGTTGCTGCTTGGTCTTGTGTTCAGAATAACAGTCCTCAGTTGAATAACGTGCTTGAACATCTCATCTTCCATAAAACACAGCTTCAAAAGAAATGCTGGTAAGAGTGATCCTATAAATCCAAAGTAACTCATGGAGAAATCTTTGCGCTTAAATGTTAAATAACCTTTGTACCTAAATGTTAATCACACCTCAGTTGACTATGAAACAAATTTATAATCTTGGTTCCAAAGGCAAGGGCAATTTACATGTTTAGTATTAATTCATTTCATCAATACATTGTTTCTCTCTTTTTCTGCTTTGCTAGATGTGCATGCATACACTGCCTAGTTTATTTTATTAAATGCAATTTTTTATTGACAAGAAGTTTATTCCTGCATTGCAAATAGCCTTTATATTCCAAGTTGTTAAACAAAAGCAGTGAAGTACAATATATTATTGGAGAAAATATACTGATACTGTGTTTATGCCTTATTGTAATGTATAACAAAGTATACAGATTTTATATTTTGTTATATATTACAATATTTTGATCCTTTTATATTATTATATATTTTATATTTTTATATTTATATTTTTAAAATATATATTATAAAATATATTTTATATATTTTGTATACTTTTATATTTTGTTACACATTACAATCTTATGTATAAGAAAATATACTGATACTGTATTTATGCCTTATTTTAGTGTATAACAGAACTGAATCTTAAAAAATTTTTTTTTGTTTTCACTCTATCACCCAGGCTGGAATGCAGTGTAGTGATCTTGGCTTACTGCAACCTCCATCCCCTGGCTCAAGTGACCCTCCCAGCTCAGCCTCCCAAGTAGCTGGGACCAAAGGCGAACACCACCATGCCAGCTATTTTTGTTGTTTTTTTTTTTTTTCTTTTTTTTTTAGTAGAGACAAGGTCTCGCCATGTTGCCTAGACTGGTCTCCAACTCCTGAGCCCAAGTGATCTGCTCACCTAGGCCTCCCAAAGTGCTGGGATTACAGGTGTGAGTCACTGCACCCAGACAAAAATAAATCTTGACTGATAAATATTAGTTTTCTCTTGTACATATGTTAATTTTGGATGAGAAAATGAAGAGTCATAGTTTTGGCATGAGTTCAGTGGAGGAAAGATGCTTTAAGTTGACAAATAATAATTGTATATATTTATGGGGTACAATGTGATGTTAGGATATGTGTATATCTTGTGGAATGAGTAAATCAAGCTTATTAACATATCCATCACTTCACATCCTTATCAGTTTTTGGTGGTAAGAGCAATTAAAATTTATTAGCAATTTTGAAATATACTTTTTTTTACCATAGTCACAATGCTGTACAATAGATCACTAGATCTCATTCTTCCTGTCTAACTGAAACTTTGAACACTTTGATTGACATCTCTTCCCCTTCTTCCCTACTCCCCTACTCCCCATCCCAAGTCTTATACCATTCTATGCTCTAGTTCAACAAGTTTGGCTTTTTTAGATTCCATGTACAAGTGAGATTATACAGTATTTATCTTTCTATAATATGCTTATTTCATTTAGCATAATGCCCCTATGTCCATTCATGTTTCTTCTTTTTAAAGACTGGATAGTATTCCATTGTATATAGATATCATACTTTCTTTATCCATTCATCAATCAATGAACACTTAGGTTGATTACATATCTTGGCCATTATTAATAATGCTGCAATCAACATGGAAATTCAGTTATCTATTCAACACACTGATTTCACTTTTTTGGGATATATATGTAGAAGTGGGATTGTTAGATCATATGGTAGTTCTATTTTCAATTTTTGAGGAATCTCCATACTGTTTTTACACCAATAATGTGAAAGGATGCCCTTTTCTCAACATCCTCATCAACATCTGTTATCTTTCATCTTTTAGATTATAGCCATTTTAACAGGTGTGAGGTGATATTTCATTTTGGTTTTAATTTGCATTTTCCTTATGATTAGTGATGTTTAGCACATTTTCATCTATCTATTGACCATTAGTGTGTCTTTTTTTGAGAAATGTCTGTTCGGGTCCTTTACTCATTTTTTCATTGGTATATTTGTTTTCTTGTTATTGAGTTGTTTCAGTTCCTTCTATATTTTAGATATTAGCCCTTTACCAAATGTATGGTTTGCACATATTTTCTCCAAATACGTGGGTTGTCTCTTTACTTTGTTAATGTTTCATTTTATAATTGAAGTAGTCTTTAATCCATTTTGAGTTAACTTTTCTGTATAGTGTGAGAGAAGAGGCTAATTTAATTATTCTGTATGTGGATTTTCACTTCTCCCAATACCACTTATTGAAGAGATTATTTTATCCCTATTGTGTATTCTTGGTAACTGTCAAAAATCAATTGACCATAAATGCTTGAATTTACTTCTGGTCTTTCTATTCTGTGCCTTTGGCAAATGTCTCTGTATGCTATTGCCATGCTGTTTTAATTACTATAGCTTTGTAATACATTTTAAAATCTAGTATTGTGATGTTTCCAGCTTTTTTCGTTTTGCTTATAATTGCTTTGGTTAAGAGACTTTTGTGGTTTCATACAAATTTTAATTTTTTTCTGCTTCTGTGAAGAATAACATTAAAATTTTGATATGAATTGCATTGAACCTGTAAATCACTCATTTTTCCTATCCATGAACATGGAATATCTTCACATTTATTTGTTTAGGCTTTAATTTTTTCATTATTTTATATTTTTCAATGTACAGATTTTTCACTTCCTTGGTTCAATTTATTCTTAAGTATTTTATTTTTTGCTATTGTAAATGAAATTGCTTTCATAATATCTTTTTTAGATAGTCTGTCATTAGTATATAGCAGTGCTACTGATTTTAATATGTTGATTTTTGTCACCTGCAAACTTCAACTTTACTGAATTCATTTAATGTTCTAACAGGTTTTTTTTGTGTTGCTTTAATAGATGTTTTAGGGTTTTCTATATAAAAGATCATTTGGTCAGCAAATGAAAACAGTTTTACTTTCTTCTTTCCTTTTTAGATGACTTTTTTTTTTTCTTTTTCTTGACTAACTGCTCTGCCTAGGCCTTTTAGTATTATGTTACACAGAAGAGGTGAGAGTGAGCATCCTTGTCCTCTTCCTGATTTTAGACAGAAGCTTTCAACTTGTCACCATTGAGGATAATGTTAGTTGTAGGCTTGCCATGTATGACCTTTATTGTCTTGAGGAGTATTTCTGAGGAAATTGATCAGAGGGCATTCTTTTTTAAAGAGGATCAGAGTTTTGAATTATTTTTCAGTGATAATAAATATAATAATTTGTAGTGCAATACCAAGTTGAAAATACAATTGCCATATTTCTTTCTTTCTTTAATTAATTCCTCTTTTAAGCCTCTGGCAGCTCATTCTACACCAAAGGCCTTTGTATATGTAAATTCTAAGTCCCTCAGAATCAAATATAAACCCTTCTAAAAGTCTGAAACACTTTTTGTGAACAAAAGTTATTTTCCCACTTGTATTTGGAAGTTTGTGGGATTTTGGATTAAATAAAGATTTTTGCAGGATGGCTTAAAGCTTACCTAATTTCCTTAAAAATAACCTACTTTAGATTAGAGTTAATCAATAATTTGTTTTGTCTCATAGTCTGATGGGAGAAACCTGTTCAGTATTGTAGTTTGACAAGATTGCAATATTTTTACATTTTAAAATAAAGAATACTATTTATAAATATGAAACTAAAATGCAAATAGATCATATTTACTACAATAATACATAATATAATTTTACTTATTATATTTTAATACAGAGCTTCTATAAACAAAAAAATTTAGAGGTTCTTATTGGTGCAAATTAGCCTATTCTGGAAGCTGTGGAGATTCTTTCAGACCCTTTTTAATGATAGAAAATAAGTTGTTGGGTATTCAAATATTTAATTTATTTTTCAAGATGACAAATGACTAGAACTACTTAAGCTCTTGGAAAACTCTAACTGGATTTAGAACATAACCAAAATTGTATTTTAACATATAAAAATAAATCTTGTATGACTTTGTCAAATTTATTTTAAAAGTACTCTAATAATTACCAAATAAACAAGTTTAAATGATTGCCAAAACAGTAAATGTAGCTGATTAAGAATATCAAATGGTGGAAGTCAATTCTTTCTTTAACCAATTTTTAGATTTTGCTGTATTGCATCGACATCGATTTAATTTAACTTGCTAATGATTTATGGTGAAGGTTGTAAATATTTATGTACCAGTTTTTTTAAAACTTAGTATTTTATAAATTTAGAGCATTATAGACAATACAAAACCATTCTTATTTTAGAAATAAACTGAGGCCACGTTTATTAGGCTTACTGATGAGTGGAACCAGATTTTAAGAGTTTTGATATAGCACTCTCTCCAGTGCATCATTCAGCTGTCATTCTAGTTGTATTGTTAAGCAGATAACTGCTTTGAGACAGGCTGTCACTGAAACCAGACTTTTCTTTTTCTGGGAGGATGTCGTGGAAATTATCAAGTGAAGAAGGGGATAGCAGTGTTTAGACAATGCTCAATGAACAGAGGAGTAAAGTGAAAAATACAGTGACTGCTCATAATAGAAAGGAAAACAATAATTGCTAAAAAGAGTACTGCCAAATAGTTTTGATTCTATTTTTATACTGTCTTTTTTTATTTTAAAGAAAAGTTTTAATCTTTTTTTAAAAAAATAGTTGGTTCTAGCAAAGAAAAACTATTGACATTAAAATAATAATTTGTGTTTTCGAGTTAGCAATTTGACTAACTTTATAAAGTTGATTAAATTGATCAACTTTTAAAAGTTGATTTAAAAATATTTGGTATAATGATAACATTTTAAAATCAACTTTTCTCCTTACAAAATATTTATTTATATAAAAGCCTATATAGGTTTCAAGAGGCCATTACCCCAGATAAAGTAATACAATCTGTAATATAATTACCAAAATAAAAATAGAAATGATTTTATGTTTTTAGGGAAACTTTAATATTGGTCTCATGTACTACTAAGATACCACTGAGTACATGCAAAAAATTAAGAAAATGAACTGCATGTATTTAGAATGATAAAGAAACATTGAGGCACCAGGCCCTGATGATACATT